CCCGCCCCCCCCCCCCCAAAACGTAAATTGGGGGCTAGATATTAATATTTTTAAAACTGTTAAAAAATAAAATTTAGTATTTTTTTAATTTTAAAAAGTATATAATCTTTATATTGTACACATTTTGCTCCGGGGGGTGGGGGGTACTTGACTTCATGAAAGAAACCCTGAACATTCTTAAATAAATGAAGCAAAGACAAAATGAATGATAATGAAAAAAAAGTTGTATAATTTGGTGACAGGAAATAGGTAATAAGCTATTATCTCCCCTTTTTCTGTCAACTTTATGAACTTCCTTGTTTTGTTTTTCATTTTATTTAATATTATGTATTTTTCACACTCCCATCATTGTATCAACTTTATGATGGTTAACATAATATTACATTTACAATTATTCCAAAATTCATGGCATGTCAGCAGAGTCCTTTTTAGTGGGTTTTGTATATAATCCTAACTTAAGAAACCTACTTTTCAATTTCATTTTCTCTGAGAGCCCACTCTTTTCTCTCCATAGCATCCATCATTTTCCTTCTCTTCTCAAGTTGTGATACATCACTGAGAGGAGGAAGGTTGGCTTCCCAAGCTCTTTTAGCCCTAGCACGTTCAATCATTTCGACTTCTGCTAGGCCAGCTGGTAATCCTCGACCTGGCCAAGGAAAATGTTTACAGCATTAATTTATCTGGACTTGATAATTTTAAAATCGTATTAATTGGAAATGACAACTGGAAATCATTTATTTATCCTTTTTAACATTCTTGTGTTCATTTTTAAGAAATATGCTAAATTACTTGGAATTCCTTCAACCACCTGCGACAAAATCATTTATATATGACTAATTTAAACTGTGTAACTCACTCACAAAGAAATGCTATATCAAAGAAGCACATAAATATTTTAGGCAGATTATGAAAAGTCTCCAAGAGAACATCCTTGTAAAAAATCTGGCATATTACAAAACCCTTCAGGTAAATCCCACTTTACATAAACTAGACCATGCTTTTCTTCTAGTTTATAGAAGTAGAGGATCTTATCGATTTAGATATTTACATCATTCCTATCACTTAGTGTGTTACTTCATTTGGAGTACATGATAGATGATTGTCTAATCTTTCTAGTATATTAATAAGACATTGCCTCACAACAACACTGACTGATAGAAATCTTTCTTAATGGCTAAATATATAAACAGATTAAAGAAATAATTTAACCTCACATTTCTTTTTCATATATTAAAAAATTGAATTTCTATAACATGCAGGCAGTATCTAAAACATGAAAGTCTCTGTAACATATTTACAGTTTCTATAACAGATCTTTTTAATAGCACTGAATAAGTGAAACATAGAAATTAAAATTATCATAATTTAAATTCAACTTATTTATTTATAAGAAATAATTAAAACTTGATCAATACTTTATGACATACCAAACGATAATGTAGCTAGTGTTAGAAGTTCTGGTGCCTCTCCTGGACGCACAACATATTCAGGAGTGTAGGGATCTGTTTGAATTTCTTGATCTCGATAGTCTGTCTGTGTTTCAATAGTTTTTGTAGGTGGGGTACGAGGACGTTTGGCTGTAATATTCTCTGGTCCAGATAGAGGATCTTGTCTAGAAAATAACCATAATTTTTTTCTTCTTAATAAAATGTAACTGAATGAATTTTATGAAGCATTATTATTTCTTAAAAATATTAATAAAGTTTCCAAATTTTTATGGAAAAAATTCATATTCATGTGTTTTATGTTGAGACTATTAAGAAAATATCCATCAGACAGCATTTACCTTCAGCCAATCAGCAAAGCAAATCAGTGTGTATATAATTTGAGTGATGTGAGGAGTAAAAAATATCTTAAAAGTAATTTCTTTCTTTAAAAAATGTCAAGTTTGTTTAATTGGTTTTCATTTTTAAAAAAAAATGATTCTATAATTAATATTAGACAAAAACTTTATTATTATATTAAATCCATGAAGTTTTAAATGTTTCACTGCAAATATTTCTTATTAATTTTAAGATTAATCTGTTCATCAATTAAGCATAATAGAAATTTTTTTTAATTTGTTGATATAAGTCATCAATATTTAATGAAAATATGAAATTTTATATGATTTATCTTATCAATCCTTTTTTTAATTATTGATTCACTGACCTAAAAAGTCATCTATAAACTTTAATGCGGTTGTTGTTTTAAAGCTACTTAAGCATGCTTTTTTATAGCTTATAGAAGTGTAGGATCTTATGGATTTAGATATTTACATTATCCCTAACACTTAGTGTGGGACATCATTTGTGGTACATTTTAAGCTCAGATGATAAAAGATGTCCTAGATGTTAGCATCAAACACAATTCTTTTTATCTGTTGCTTTAAGTGAAAGCTCATAAAATTAAACTTCTTCAATTACTGTATAAATGTAATAAAATAATAAACACATATTTTTATTCACCTAGCAGTAGCTAGAAGAACCTCTGGAGGAACTTGCTGAAGAAATGGAATCATGGGCCTGAGGAAATTTAAAGATAATAAAAGAATTTTTTAAAATATATATTTACATATAGGGTGATCTGACTATTCCTGATATATGCAACTAAAAATGATTATGATTTTCAAAATGTTAAAATATCTCTCCAAATTAAACTTCTTGACTTTTTCCATTATCTGAATTATCCTTGCTTTTTTATGAGCTTCCATAAAAATAGAATTTAACAAGTTGACTTTAGCATCAATTTGGAATATAAAATTTTTACATTTAAATTTTGTAAATTTGAAACTACAATTAATTTTCTACCTTCTAAAATAGATGAAGCGGTTTCTTCCAATAACATCAGCATTTTTAAAGTCAGTCAGGTCTTGCCTTGGTACTTGTACGGAAGGATCACAGTTAAATCTGATCAGATCAAGTGTTCTGGGTTATTTAAACTATTATATTTTTGGTGAATAAAATGATGATGTAATATTTAATCCAATCAATAAAGATTATTTTTCTATATAGTAATAAATTAATGCTCATATGAATGTTGGTTTTATTAAGGAGAAAAAAAAATTATTTTAGAGTTTTGAAATTCATATGACCTTCATTTTAACTGCTCAGTCAGTGGTGAATATATTAATTGGCCTTAGTTATGCAATAAACTAAATTAACCCTCTTGAAATGGAACCTTTTTGAAGCTTTAGCTCCAAGAAACTGGAGCCCTTTTCACAAATCCTGAACTTATGTTGCAAAAACTAAATATATTGTTGCAGGGCATTGAATGAACTGAAACAATCTTTATGGATCAAACTAATATCTCAACAGTTATTCAAATGATCCATCATGATTTGAATAATTTATGCATGAATTATTTTTTATTTTTTTACATTTAGAGTAAACATGTCTTTGTTGCAAGAATTTGGGTGAGGTTTCTGATTGGTGAAGCCTTAACAAGTCACAACAAATATTTGTATAAGATTCAATGTGAAAACTGCATAAAGTATGTCACCGCGGGTGCTGTTGTCTTCTGACAATATTTTCTAAGAATTCATAGACATCACTTGGTACAAAAAAAAAATGGATATAAAATGACTATCAATGAAAGCCGCCATAAAAAAAAATGACTATCAATGAAAGCCGCCATCAAAATGCCTATATGAGCGAGAAATGCAAGAATTAATTTTATTGGCCAGCCAATATTAAGGCTTGCATTATCAGGCTGATGGATTGACCCATTGTCTTTTTTGCCATTCAACTCTTGGGTTGATTGATCGGCCCTGTCGCCTGAAGAGGGTTAATTGGACATGTTTATAGTTACTTTATATTTTTTGTTACCATTGATATCGATGCCTCCTTGAATGATTTAATTTGAATATAGATATATCAATCACATAATTAATTATGCACTGAATGTAAACCAGCTGGAAACTAGTTTAAATAATTTTACATAAAAACCCTAACAAGAATGATTCCCAAAAAGCATGATTTTTAAAAAAAATCTTAATAGAAAGAATGAATATGTGTATTTTAAATGTATTCTCATTATGAATAATTAAAAGCATTTTTTTTAATGAACCACCTAAATTGTTAATAAAATAAAACCTACTTCATAATTACTTTATGGAATAAACTTTAGTTTTCATGTTACTTTATTGGATTCATGTAACTGTTATAAATTTCAAATCAACCTTACGTGGCATATCTAATCATTGCCTCTCTGTGCTGGTTACCATGACCTCTCCATTCTCTGCTAATGAACTTTGGTACAGGATCAGTTAAATCAAGATGCACTTGAAATCGAGGATGGTGCCGAAGTTCAGAAAACATTGTTTTGTAAATAGGCACACGTTTCTAAAGGCAAGACATTAAAAGATACAGCTGATTAGTCAAAATTATCAACATTTATAATCATGAGATAAGGAACTTCTTACAGCAATAGTTTATATGGAGGCTACTTAGTGGAGAGAATGGTGAAGGGCAAGTTACAAAGATATTTAAATCTGAAACAAGTTAACATTTGCTGGGAGCCCATCATAATATTTTCAAGATTGTTTTAACATGAACAAAAGAAATTAACATGCAATTTCTGATAAAGTGCATGAGGCATGGTATTTGATGTCTGAAATCTGTAGTCCAGTTTCATGAGGCATGGTATTTGATGTCTGAAATTTGTAGTAAAGTTTCATGAGGCATGGTATTTGATGTCTGAAATGTGTAGTCCAGTTTCATGAGGCATGGTATTTGCTGTCTGAAATTTGTAGTCCAGTTTCATGAGGCATGGTATTTGCTGTCTGGAATGTGTAGTCCAGTTTCATGAGGCATGGTATTTGATGTCTGAAATTTTTAGTCCAGTTTCATGAGGCATGGTATTTGATGTCTGAAATTTGTAGTCCAGTTTCATGAGGCATGGTATTTGCTTGTCTGGAATGTGTAGTCCAGTTTCATGAGGCATGGTATTTGCTGTCTGGAATGTATAGTCCAGTTTCATGAGGCATGGTATTTGATGTCTGAAATTTGTAGTCAAGTTTCATGAGGCATGGTATTTGATGTCTGAAATTTTTAGTCCAGTTTCATGAGGCATGGTATTTGATGTCTGAAATTTGTAGTCCAGTTTCATGAGGCATGGTATTTGATGTCTGAAACGTGTAGAGCAGTTTCATGAGGCATGGTATTTGATGTCTGGAATTTGTAGTCCAGTTTCATGAGGCATGGTATTTGATGTCTGAAATGTGTAGTCCAGTTTCATGAGGCATGGTATTTGATGTCTGAAATCTGTAGTCCAGTTTCATGAGGCATGGTATTTGCTGTCTGGAATGTGTAGTCCAGTTTCATGAGGCATGGTATTTGATGTCTGAAATCTGTAGTCCAGTTTCATGAGGCATAGTATTTGCTGTCTGGAATGTGTAGTCCAGTTTCATGAGGCATGGTATTTGCTGTCTGGAATGTGTAGTCCAGTTTCATGAGGCATGGTATTTGATGTCTGAAATGTGTAGTCCAGTTTCATGAGGCATGGTATTTGATGTCTGAAATGTGTAGTCCAGTTTCATGAGGCATGGTATTTGATGTCTGAAATTTGGAGTCCAGTTTCATGAGGCATGGTATTTGATGTCTGAAATGTGTAGTCCAGTTTCATGAGGCATGGTATTTGATGACTGAAATTTGTAGTCCAGTTTCATGAGGCATGGTATTTGATGTCTGAAATGTGTAGTCCAGTTTCATGAGGCATGGTATTTGATGTCTGAAATTTGTAGTCCAGTTTCATGAGGCATGGTATTTGATGTCTGAAATGTGTAGTCCAGTTTCATGAGGCATGGTATTTGATGTCTGAAATTTGTAGTCCAGTTTCATGAGGCATGGTATTTGATGTCTGAAATGTGTAGTCCAGTTTCATGAGGCATGGTATTTGATGTCTGAAATTTGTAGTCCAGTTTCATGAGGCATGGTATTTGATGTCTGAAATGTGTAGTCCAGTTTCATGAGGCATGGTATTTGATGTCTGAAATTTGTAGTCCAGTTTCATGAGGCATGGTATTTGATGTCTGAAATGTGTAGTCCAGTTTCATGAGGCATGGTATTTGATGTCTGAAATTTGTAGTCCAGTTTCATGAGGCATGGTATTTGATGTCTGAAATGTGTAGTCCAGTTTCATGAGGCATGGTATTTGATGTCTGAAATTTGTAGTCCAGTTTCATGAGGCATGGTATTTGATGTCTGAAATGTGTAGTCCAGTTTCATGAGGCATGGTATTTGATGTCTGAAATTTGTAGTCCAGTTTCATGAGGCATGGTATTTGATGTCTGAAATGTGTAGTCCAGTTTCATGAGGCATGGTATTTGATGTCTGAAATTTGTAGTCCAGTTTCATGAGGCATGGTATTTGATGTCTGAAATGTGTAGTCCAGTTTCATGAGGCATGGTATTTGATGTCTGAAATTTGTAGTCCAGTTTCATGAGGCATGGTATTTGATGTCTGAAATGTGTAGTCCAGTTTCATGAGGCATGGTATTTGATGTCTGAAATTTGTAGTCCAGTTTCATGAGGCATGGTATTTGATGTCTGAAATGTGTAGTCCAGTTTCATGAGGCATGGTATTTGATGTCTGAAATTTGTAGTCCAGTTTCATGAGGCATGGTATTTGATGTCTGAAATTTGTAGTCCAGTTTCATGAGGCATGGTATTTGATGTCTGAAATGTGTAGTCCAGTTTCATGAGGCATGATATTTGATGTCTGAAATTTGTAGTCCAGTTTCATGAGGCATGGTATTTGCTGTCTGAAATTTGTAGTCCAGTTTCATGAGGCATGGTATTTGATGTCTGAAATGTGTAGTCCAGTTTCATGAGGCATGGTATTTGATGTCTGAAATTTGTAGTCCAGTTTAATGAGGCATTGTATTTGATGTCTGAAATGTGTAGTCCAGTTTCATGAGGCATAGTATTTGCTATCTGAAATTTGTAGTCCAGTTTCATGAGGCATGGTATATGATGTCTGAAATATGTAGTCCAGTTTCATGAGGCATGGCATTTGATGTGTGAAATTTGTAGTCCAGTTTCATGAGGCATGGTATTTGATGTCTGACATTTGTAGTCCAGTTTCATGAGGCATGGTATTTGATGTCTGAAATCTGTAGTCCAGTTTCATGGGGCATAGTATGTGATGTCTGAAATTTGTAGTCCAGTTTCATGAGGCATGGTATTTGATGTCTGAAATCTGTAGTCCAGTTTCATGAGGCATGGTATTTGCTGTCTGGAATGTGTAGTCCAGTTTCATGAGGCATGGTATTTGATGTCTGAAATATTTTTAGTTCAGTTTCATGAGGCATGGTATTTGATGTCTGAAATTTATAGTCCAGTTTCATGAGGCATGGTATTTGATGTCTGAAATTTGTAGTCCAGTTTCATGAACCATGGTATTTGATGTCTGAAATGTGTAGTCCACTTTCATGAGGCATGGTTTTTGATGTCTGAAATTTCTAGTCCAGTTTCATGAGGCATGGTATTTGATGTCTGAAATGTGTAGTCCAGTTTCATGAGGCATGGTATTTGATGTCTGAAATTTGTAGTCCAGTTTCATGAACCATGGTATTTGATGTCTGAAATGTGTAGTCCACTTTCATGAGGCATGGTATTTGATGTCTGAAATGTGTAGTCCAGTTTCATGGGGCATAGTATTTGATGTCTGAAATTTGTAGTCCAGTTTCATGAGGCATGGTATTTGATGTCTGAATTTTGTAGTCCAGTTTCATGAGGCATGGTATTTGATGTCTGAAATGTGTAGTCCAGTTTCATGAGGCATGGTATTTGATGACTGAAATTTGTAGTCCAGTTTCATGAGGCATGATATTTGATGTCTGAAATTTGTAGTCCAATTTCATGAGGCATGGTATTGGATGTCTGAAATCTTTAGTCCAGTTTCATGAGGCATGGTATTTGATGTCTGAAATGTGTAGTCCAGTTTCATGAGGCATGGTATTTGATGTCTGAAATGTGTAGTCCAGTTTCATGAGGCATGGTATTTGATGTCTGAAATGTGTAGTCCAGTTTCATGAGGCATGGTATTTGATGTCTGAAATTTGTAGTCCAGTTTCATGAGGCATGGTATTTGATGTCTGAAATGTGTAGTCCAGTTTCATGAGGCATGGTATTTGATGTCTGAAATTTGTAGTCCAGTTTCATGAGGCATGGTATTTGATGTCTGAAATGTGTAGTCCAGTTTCATGAGGCATGGTATTTGATGTCTGAAATTTGTAGTCCAGTTTCATGAGGCATGGTATTTGATGTCTGAAATGTGTAGTCCAGTTTCATGAGGCATGGTATTTGATGTCTGAAATTTGTAGTCCAGTTTCATGAGGCATGGTATTTGATGTCTGAAATGTGTAGTCCAGTTTCATGAGGCATGGTATTTGATGTCTGAAATTTGTAGTCCAGTTTCATGAGGCATGGTATTTGATGTCTGAAATGTGTAGTCCAGTTTCATGAGGCATGGTATTTGATGTCTGAAATTTGTAGTCCAGTTTCATGAGGCATGGTATTTGATGTCTGAAATGTGTAGTCCAGTTTCATGAGGCATGGTATTTGATGTCTGAAATTTGTAGTCCAGTTTCATGAGGCATGGTATTTGATGTCTGAAATGTGTAGTCCAGTTTCATGAGGCATGGTATTTGATGTCTGAAATTTGTAGTCCAGTTTCATGAGGCATGGTATTTGATGTCTGAAATGTGTAGTCCAGTTTCATGAGGCATGGTATTTGATGTCTGAAATTTGTAGTCCAGTTTCATGAGGCATGGTATTTGATGTCTGAAATGTGTAGTCCAGTTTCATGAGGCATGGTATTTGATGTCTGAAATTTGTAGTCCAGTTTCATGAGGCATGGTATTTGATGTCTGAAATGTGTAGTCCAGTTTCATGAGGCATGGTATTTGATGTCTGAAATTTGTAGTCCAGTTTCATGAGGCATGGTATTTGATGTCTGAAATGTGTAGTCCAGTTTCATGAGGCATGGTATTTGATGTCTGAAATTTGTAGTCCAGTTTCATGAGGCATGGTATTTGATGTCTGAAATGTGTAGTCCAGTTTCATGAGGCATGGTATTTGATGTCTGAAATTTGTAGTCCAGTTTCATGAGGCATGGTATTTGATGTCTGAAATGTGTAGTCCAGTTTCATGAGGCATGGTATTTGATGTCTGAAATTTGTAGTCCAGTTTCATGAGGCATGGTATTTGATGTCTGAAATGTGTAGTCCAGTTTCATGAGGCATGGTATTTGATGTCTGAAATTTGTAGTCCAGTTTCATGAGGCATGGTATTTGATGTCTGAAATGTGTAGTCCAGTTTCATGAGGCATGGTATTTGATGTCTGAAATTTGTAGTCCAGTTTCATGAGGCATGGTATTTGATGTCTGAAATGTGTAGTCCAGTTTCATGAGGCATGGTATTTGATGTCTGAAATTTGTAGTCCAGTTTCATGAGGCATGGTATTTGATGTCTGAAATGTGTAGTCCAGTTTCATGAGGCATGGTATTTGATGTCTGAAATTTGTAGTCCAGTTTCATGAGGCATGGTATTTGATGTCTGAAATGTGTAGTCCAGTTTCATGAGGCATGGTATTTGATGTCTGAAATTTGTAGTCCAGTTTCATGAGGCATGGTATTTGATGTCTGAAATGTGTAGTCCAGTTTCATGAGGCATGGTATTTGATGTCTGAAATTTGTAGTCCAGTTTCATGAGGCATGGTATTTGATGTCTGAAATTTGTAGTCTAGTTTCATAAGACCATTTCAGAGCTTCCTGTCTGTACTGAGTCTAGCTCAAAAGTCTGATCTTAGAGTGGCAGTCCTTGCTGCACTCTATGCAGATGAATGGTAAAGTATGCTGCATGATTCCATTTCTTCTGGTTTTTCATTCCTGTTTTACAGCAATGCCCAAAGTAGAAGACCTCTCACCACACCCTCAATTTGAGTGAAAAGCTTGCAGCATATGTTGGCAAATGCATGGACCTCAGTGTTTGACACTGTGTAATGTGGTAAGCCCTTTGTTCAGGGTTTTTATGTTGGTTAACCCCAAGATCTTACAAGATTGAGCATACATGCTGTGTAGATGTCAAGTTTATTCCACTTTTTGAGCTTATAGTTTTTCCAGACTCTCTTGTTCAACCTGGTCTTCTTAAAACAACACTATTCTTTTTAATGGTGATGGTCAGTCCAGCTTCCTTGCAGGAATGAAAGAGGCAATCTACAAAATAATGTATTTTATTTTCCATGAATAGCAGTTCAATGACGAAGCACTTTGTGATGATTCACTGATGAGACATTTTCTGACAAAGTCTTTTCATAGAGAAGGATAGTGTTGAACAGCTTGACATAAAACCTAGTGTGTATGTTGGCCATCTTGTTGCAGTCTTTTAAAAGCATGCTTGAGGGGCATTAAAAGTTGCAGAGTGTGTGACTGTGAGAGCACAGTCTTTCTTCATATTGCTGCTGATTTATAAGTTCTCTAATGTTAAAGAATTCTGTTCTGTATGTCCCCATGGAATTACATGAAGAGACCTGCAATCTAGGGGAAGAACAAGTGTCTGCACACAAAAAATCTGTGTCACCAAGTAAACTGTCTTCATCAGATCTATAAAATTTTTAGTAAGGGGAATCTGTTGTGTACTTATTTGAATTTCAATATGTATTTCAAGAACATCAGATGCCCCTCAACAGCACTTTCATAGATTTGATGAACTCAGATTGTTCTGGGCCAGACTGGACTTTTCAGGCTCCTGCAGATAATTGTATAGAACCAAGACTGCAAACACTCATCTTGTCAGTCATGATGTCATGAACGTTACATTTTGCCTCAACATCAGATAATTTCCCACTCATTTTTCTCCAGTATGCTTTCAAAGGCATACAGATATTTGTATTACAGAAATTTTTTCGAAGGAAAATTGTTTAATCAAAGATATTTCTAACTGAAATTTCTAGAGAAATTAAAAAAGAAATACAGCAAACGATCAATTTATTTTTAAAAAAATATTTTTTTTGGGGGGCAAGGGATATTTTTGGGCATGCCTAGGATTCCTTGGTGTACCCTTGGGTGCTGGGGCACCCTCATTGAAAACCACTGATCTGCTGTATAACAATGTATTAGCATTCCAAACAGACAGTTTTGGACAAGTGTTTTGCAAAAATAAGTCTTCCTTTTTCTTTTCCAAGTCTCATATTACTAAAATACTAAATTCGTTAAGGAATTTTTTTATTGTAAAAAGATGATACTTCTTTTTGTATGAGTTGGGAACAAAATGGGCTCTAGGGTACTGCTAAGGAGATTTAAATTTCTTATGCAAAAACCCAAATGGCTTTTTAGTTCCATTTGGTTGCTATATCAATTTTGAACTTACAATGCGACTTGTATTGGTATGGGCTTGAAATGTAGCTTTTCCATGATCTTGGGCAGAAGATAAGATATAATTTTGATCTGAAATATTAATAAAGATTTAAGTTTTAGATAATATTATTTGTAGCCTTAAAGGGAGGCGGGGTGAAAAATCTAACGTTTTTGTTTGGCTTCCAATGGGAAATTTTTCACTTACATTTTCTTTGGTATTGAAAAGGAGGTAACAAAATAAATCTTTTAAGTTCCATTGGTTGCCATTGCACCCATAAAACCTCCACGATTTGTATTCTTTAAGTTGTTTTTGTTCCAAACAGTTAGAATTATACAAATCTGTAGTTACTGCCATACGATTTAACAAATACATTATTTAACATATAATAAAACTTTGAATATCAGGAATTTTTAAAATACGAACTTGTTATAAATCTACAGGGTCACAAAATTTTGCACAAAAAAAAAGGGGAGTGGGTGAATTCTTTTTTACCTATTTTCTTATCTAAGAAAATTATCTTAATTCTAAGTTATTAGAATGCTTATTATTGGTCAATGTACTGGAACATACTGTGAAAATTTGGTGATGTTTGGATAATAAATTAACAGATATATAATGATATAGGTGACCAAAAATATTGAAAACGAGAAAACTGAAATAACTAAGAAAAACGACAAAACAAAAGTAAAATCTGTGCAAAATAAGTTATTTATCTTCAGACTGGGATTAAAACTTTTCATTGGCCTATATTAAGCTTCTTTTATTCTTTCCAGGTCTTTTAGTATTTTTTCCTAGCCGTTCAACTTTTCCCTGCGATTTATTTTTTTTTATCTTTCATTTTATTTTTGATAAATTATTTATAATTGGTTTATTTTGGAGAATTTTAGCACTATAAAAGTGTTTAAAGCCATAAAATCAACCTTTAAGCTATGTGAAAATGCAAATCCAAATACTTATTTGGCATTGCCCAAGTAAACTGAAAATGCAACTCTTCGTCTTGAAAAATTGTCATTTCTACCAGTCCTTATGACCCATTGAATTTCATCTGTTGTAAATTCTCTGCTTTTTGTTTCACACCTTCTCAATCACTTCTATTACTGCAACATGTATTTAGTAAAAAATCAACTGTATTTTGGGGAGCCATAAAACTCATTAGCGATCACACCTTTGTAAAATCTAATTAATTATCAAATTTTAACACTAATCATATTGCAAATCACATTGGATAGAGATACAATATTGAACTTTTTACTGCAATATCAATATTTTGTCCTTGAATAACATATAATAAGCCTGGTGATGTATTTTTTTAGTCTTCCCTTGCCTCCTGAAAACAATAAACTTGTATTTAGATATTTTTATACAAGTTTTATTTTATTAAAGATTTCCAAACAATAATATATAAGAACATTGATGAATGCATTGATAGGTCTAACTCTTAAATGGCATAGACATTGTTGAAAAGTATTTCAAGAAAAAATGTTTAGCGCTCTTATTTATTTTAGAATAACCCTAATGACAATGTGTGCCTCGATAAGAGAAATAAAAAATTTAAATAATTACCCTTTCGACAACTATGGGTAGTGAAAGTCAGACATCTCTATTACTAGACTTACTTGTCTATTTTTACTACCAGAATGCTCTTTCAATACAATTCACAATATTCCTGAGAGTAGGCCTATATGCTCCATGTTGTAACATAAATGGGGCCAACAAGTTTCATTATCATGTGTTTGGTGTGTGTTCAAGTATATTGTTTGCCGGCATTTTACAAAAACAATCCCATCATATGTTTCATCAGCTGACAAGTTAGTAACATAGCAAATGGTAGAAAATGGAGTGGTCACAATGAATTTAATATCAGTTGACTTATTTACAATTTTTAATTATTAGTTGTATTCTATAATAGCCATATTTTGTAATTCAAAGGTTTCAATTTGTGAAATTAATATCCAGTTTGATTTTCATTTCAGTGGACATGACAAGAAAAGATTTTAGAGAGACAAGGTCTTGTTTTTAAACAAATGGAGTTCATTCAAGTTGCTTTTTTTATTTTTTTTTTATTTTTTTTTTTAAATTTTAGGTCTTAATTTTCTCTTGTATGTGTGGTTATTGTTGAAATGATATATGAAAGAATTTATTCATTGAAAGAGAAACATGCAGCCTCAGGTTGCTGACCTCAATGGTAGCACATAATTTTAAAATTGATAAATATATGCAAGAGTTTTGCATAGTTGTGACAGCTCAGTGTGAACATTTAAGTAGGATATCTTTGTCTGCTGGAGATTTTAAACATCTACAAATATCAGTGGATTCTAAACATGGATTCACAACTGAACTTGAACTGGCTGTAACAAATCTGGAGTGTGAACTTAACTTTATAGGCCTAAACTTTCAAAATTTATAGTAGTATTAGGGTGCTGGGTGGTCGAGTGGTCTAAATTGAGCAAATCTCAAGTTAGTGGTCTGGAGTTCAATTCCAGCAAGAGCCCAGTCAAGAAAAAACATCACCAGCACCCCGGGAAGATGGGACCCGTTAACCCTGGATGGCAACTCATCTAAGAGAAGGGAAGGAAACCCTGAAATCAAACCCGGAGATGGAGTCCCGAAACATACATTGATACAATGAAACATTCTGACTACTCCTCAGACGTCACTGGTAGCCAAGCTGTATCATCCAATGATGTTCCCTTGGGTTACCCAGATAGATAGAGAGGCGATTTGCTGTTGAAGTATAATCCCAGGCCATGTGGATTTCGTCCTCCGAAGCCCACCCCATCGTCACATTGTAACGGACAGATGCCAGTAGTATTACAAGGCCAGAAATTTTCAAAATAGGCTAGATATAAGTCAACATCATCCTCATATAACCATTCAGCACTTGGAATAGAACCATTATAAGCAATAATTGCCATAAATTCTCTCTATCTCCTTGCTCCTTGTTGTTCTTTTTCAACATGATTTGTGATGCAAAATAGATGTTAGAGATTTTGCAAATCTGTTTAAGCAGCGATTTTATTATTGTTACTCACTTTACATTTCCCTAATTCTCAAAATATTGTTTTCCTACTCTATTAATATCATTTAACTTTTGACTTCTCTTGCACTAACATTCTGACCAGCCATCTGCAGTGCACAGACAGACACACATTAAATAATTCTTATATTATTAAAAGCCTAAAAATTATATGTCTATTTACACTCAATAACACTTACAATTTTTTTTTAAAATAATGTAATTATCAGTCAATTTTAAGATTAAAATTTTAATATAGAAAACATGATTATTGACGTCAACTAATTTAACCCCCCCCCTTGTCAACAACTGTCAAACATTTCCAAACCCCCTCTCCCATTTTGTAGACGTTATTAATGGACGCCCCCTAAGCTGAAAATACTTAAATGCTTATTTGTATCAAATGCACAACATTGGAACCTAAAGAATCCTCTTTAGCATCTTTATTGGATGAGGAATAACTTTGAAATAGTCCATATTCCATTTTCCAGAATAATACTAGCCCTTTCAAATTGTCATCACCCTCCCATCACCGGACGGAAAAAATAAATTTCTCAATTTTTTGTATATTTACCGGAAACAAAATTTGCTCTTGATAACAATCAATATAAGAGTTTTGATATTCCATAATCTTTAAATGTCTGAATAAGTCTAAGTAAATTGTAATTTTTGAATACAGAAATAAAAAATATACATACAATTTAATTTAAATATGCCAACACCAACTATTTCTAGACCTACAACTATAATTTATAGTCCTAAGCTTAGCTACTAAGTCCAAGTCTAAGTTTTAAATACTGTTATTAATCTATAACTGAGCCCTTAAGTTTAATTTTAATAAACGAATACTAATATACTACTAATATTATTCTAATACTACACCTACACTTACAGGCCTAATTTAAATTATTATTTTTAAATTTAATAAGGTATTTAATTTTAATTAGGCCTAATTTTATAATATACTGATAATTTCTAATAATAACAAATCTAAATAATAAAATAAAAAAGTTTTAAAAAAAACTTTCTTAAATAATTTTCTATAAATAATGACAAAAATTGAATAATATTAATTAAAAAATTTGTAAATTTAGGATTATGATTTAATATGATTAGATGTTATTTCTAGGGTTATTTCAGACATAAGAGAAAATTTTAATTATCTATTGACAGATTGAAGAACTCGGTGGAATTTCTTCCATCTGTCGACTATGGGGCATGTTTGGATGTAGGTGGCAAATACAAAGTTTATATGAAGGAGAGATTGTGGGATTCAACAACAAGACCAAGAAGTCTGTAGAGCAGTTTAAGTAGAACATGACAGGCAGAATATTCCCATTACCTTTTAAAATTTAATCACATACCAAACCTGATATGCTTGTATTAGTCTTATGGGTTATTTTTTGAAGTTTTTACTTATAATTATAATTTCAAGCATTTAACTTTATTTTTAAAAAGACTACTACTATACCTTTTATAAATATAAGAATTGATTTAAAATTTAAATGAAGCATATACTTTAAAAAAAAATACAATAAACATGCTAATATTTTGTTTTTTCCTTTATAAATTTTAATTTTTCCATTTATTCTGTTAACATTTTTCTTAACAAACACTAAAAAAAAAAATTATCAGCAATACAAGTCTTGATATTATTATATAAAAGTTGTGTTATTTATTGTGTTGTAGTTGTATATTGCATTGAAAATGTCTCCTGAAAATCTGATAGCATTATCTTGTAAAATAAAAAAGTTTTGGGCAAATAAGTCAGAAATTTTGGAAAGTCAGCCACTAGTTTTTGCAGTAAAATACAAATTTATATATTAATATTAAGAAGGGTGTTCAAAAGATTCACCCAAAAAAAAACATAACTTAATTTCTATAAAATAAAGAAAGGCGAAATTGGTATTTTTGCAAAGCTTATAGCTAGTCCTTTAAAATGGTTTATTATTTATGGCAATCGGACAATAATTAAAACTTCTGTCAAAGTAGTCAAAGTTAACTGTTACTGTTATTCAGTGTTCTTCAGTGTTAACTAAGTTTGTGTGAGTACTGCTAGGCCTCATAGTTACCATAAAGATAATCATGTGTTCTTGATGGAATTGGCAATACCCGCTGCAAGGTTTGAGTGATGGTTGCCATGATGGCTAAGTACTGTGAGGGGCAATAAGGCAGAATTCTGCTCGAAATATATTTCTACACAAGTTGTCAGCCTAAGCCCACCATCTTGTTTGACACCAATATGGCCGCCTGGTTCGTTTCCATGACGCCAGGGGAAGATAACAAAACAAAAACAAACGGTGAACGATCTTTCTCTTTCTGGGTCCCCAAACAATGAAATTCTCACCCATTACACATCCGCAATATACCGACCATCCAGACCTTCAAACCTGCATTCAAGACATATTTATTCAAATTATACTATCCCGACTGATTCCCACACCACTCTGACCGATAAACGATGCTGCTGGGTGCCGTCCATCAGGGCCGGCGATAGGGGATGGCGAAGTGGGCGGTTTGCGGGTCCCCGCGCGTTGCCGTAGTATATTTATAATATACATAAGCCTACTATTAGTTCCTAATTCAGTCAACACAATATTCAGAGTTATTAGGTAGTCAATTGGTCTGAAGGTCAGTCTGGCTCCCATACAGTGGCGACGCTACACCAGGTCTCGCCGGGTCCCAGGACCTGGTAAAAAAACTTGGGACCTGGCAAATGAACTGGTCAATTTTTATTAGTTACTAATATTGTAGATATGCTCATTAAGCGTAAACTACATTACATGTAAGAGAACTTCCATTTTAAATGCCTTTATATGTTTTAATTTTTATTTTTAATACATTTATTTGGGACCTGCCAATTTTTTTTAAGACCTGCAAGGGACCCGCCATGCTAAATTTGATGGCGTCGCCACTGCTCCCATACTATCCCTTCGAGATGAATCTCAGCAAGGCCCCAGTACGATTATAATAATAATGTGTCTTAATATTTAATATCCTATCAGCAGCGGAGTATATAACGTCAAAGGCCCTGCAAAATTCAATTTGCCCAAGGCCCAAGGCCTCGCACCCTCCTAGCGCCTACCCTGCGTCCATGGACATGTAAATAGTTCCCCCCCCCCCAAAAAAAAGGGGGGGGGGTATTTTTATGATAAAGCTCTTTTTTTTTCATTTAATAAATTATATAACTGTTTTGATGTCATGCTTATTATTTCCAATACTTGTATGTGATGCGCAGTAAGCCCAGCTCGAGGCTGGGGCACTGTGCTATCCAAGACCACTGTAATAGTAATAATAATGACAATTTTTCTTTATTCATCTGTTGACTCAGACTGATTTAAAATATTGTTTATTTCCATCCGCTATTCACTAATTTCTAAACTAGCCCCCCATTGATGTGCTCGCTCACTAATTCTTAACTCGGCCTGCCGGCCTAATCAAGTGTTGTTTTTGTTTTTAAATCTGTCCTCAAAATTTGAAGCAATAACGAAAGTGCACTCATTGCTTCCGGTTTTACTAAGGGGTTTGGGGAGGGGGGGGGGGATTTGCGATGGATGCGAAACACACAGCGGGGCACCCTCCTGTATCCCTACTTTAATGTCTTACTCCCGTCATCCTCTTACACAGGGTTTCTTTCAGCTATATCTCCGGGGG